GGACCTCTGGAAGAACAATCAGTGCTCTTAACCTCTGAGCCATCTCTTCAGAACATAACCAACATTCTCAATAATACAAACATCCATCATCCATTTTTTTCAGAATGTGGGCTTAGTTTTGTAGGTTATTGCTTGCTGATTGGGGGCATTGTGATAATCATATGGGGACCCAAAGAAAATTTAGGATCATCAAAGAGTCCTAACTTGAGTATTCTTTGAGGCTGTATCATCTCAGCCAGCATTCTTGCAACTGTTCTTGATATAGAACTCAGAGCAGTCTGAAACAGAGGTGCTCTAAAACATTGGAATACCTGGGCCATATGGTCCTATTTGATATTTTTCAAGGGCCATTTCTCAATCAAGCCTAATTTTTCTTAACCCAGAACAAAGCCAGAGTCTCACATTTCCTGTAGAAACAAAAGCAAAATCTCTTCTCCAAAGTAACATATCTTTCCACTTAAATTTTGAATTCAAGGCATTGCTAAAATCTTAGGTTGGATTAATCCAATAGCATTTATGAAATGTCTTTTAGCAGCTATTGTTCCATCCTTAGCAGTCAAACAATTCAAAGACAACACAATAACATACACTATTCAGATTCTTTGTGTAATTTTCATCTTTACGTGACTTTTCATCCTTCTTTCTTCTAATTTTACTTTTAAGTTTTTGGTTTTTAGGGACAGTGTTTGTCTGCATATTTTTGGCTTACTGAGATCTCACTATATAGACCAGGGTGCCATTGAACTCACAGAGATCCAACTACCTCTGTCTCCCAAGTGCTGGGATTAAAGGCATGTACCACTACACCCAACTACTTTCTTTTTTAATAGATGCTAGCTTTTTCCTTTCTTTTATTTTTAAAAAAGAAAACAAATTGTTTTTTTTATTTTACATACCAATCTCAATTCCCTCTCCCTGCCCTCCTCACATTACCTCCACCAATCTCCTCACCCCACCCCCATTCATTCCTCAGTGAGGGTAAGGCACATCACTTTGGGGAATGTCCAAGGTCCTCCCTACTACATCTAGATTGAGCAAGGTATGGATCCAAAGAGAATAGGTTCCCAAAAAGCTAGTGCAAGCAGTAGGGATAAGTCCTGGTGCCACTGCCAGTGGCCCCACAAACTGCCACAGTCATACAACTGTCACCCACATTCAGAGGGTCTAGTTTGATCCTATGCTGGTTCCTTACTTGTCCAGCTGGAGTTGGTGAGCTCCCATTAGCTCAGGTAAGCATTCCAGTGGGTGTTCCCATTATGGTCTTGACCTCTTCGCTCATATTCTCACTCCTCCCACTCTTGATAGTAAACGGTTGGAAAAAGATTTTCTAATCAAGGGGACCTAAAAACCAAACGGGCATAGCTATCCTAAGTTCTAACAAAATAGACTTCAAACTAAAATCAATCAAAAAAGAGGGAGAAAGACACTTTATACTCATAAAAGGAACATTCCAAGAATATGAAGTCACAAACCTGAACATCTATGCCCCTTAACAAAATCATTCATATATGTAAAAGAAACATTACTAAAGCTTAATTGCATATCAAACTCCACACACTAAATCTAGAAAATCATTTGATCATACTACAGAAACCTGTACTTCACAAAGCTGAAAAATGTCAATGAAATGGACAATTTTCTGGATCGGTACAACATACCAAAATAGGACCTCTCAG